ATTACCTTATCAAGGATGATGGGTGGAAATTAGCTCAAAATTCAGATAAGGCGACTGATGGTCTTAGTATATTTTCCAAGAATACAAGTAAAGATACATTACTGAAAGTCAAATATATTGTTATGACAGCGGAAGTCACGTGACCCTGGTAACACGTCATGAGATTCTCGAAGGATCTTGACTTTTCTTGACAACTCTAGTCTTTTCTAGGCGCCCCCTTTTTTTTTGTATATAAGCCCGGCAAATAAAGCGAGATAATGAATTGCAGATAGATAGAGAGATTGAAGAGATAGAGACAGATAACTGAGTGAAGCGAGTGTTAGTGACCGTAAGTAAAGTGCGTGAATCGTTGTGAATTATAGCGTGTGTTGAAATGAAAGTGACTGTGGAAATTCTGTGTATTGCAAAGTTGTACTGAGAAACAATAAACTAGTTTTATTTAAGAAAGGACTTGTATCGCTGAAGTTTCTCGGAAAGAATTTCCACGGGAAATTAACAAACGAGCATATACGTAACAATATACTTAATCGTTATATTAGCGAAGTATATAAAAATACCTTTATACTTTGAAGTGTTAAATTTTCCTCAAAGAAAAAAGTTAATTAGCATTTGAGCTAAGGGCTTGTAATACAAGGCTTCATCTAAACGTAATTTTTTTTTAGTTTTTGTTTAACATATATGGAAAACTTGTATATGTATACATATAATTTATGCACAAGAAAAGACATATTTGGTTAATCTAGGCCGTCCCATCCGTTTGTTTGTTTGTTTTTAATTAAGCATAAAGCTACACAATGAGCTATCTGTGCTCTGCCCACCACGGGTATCGAAACGGGATTATAGCGTTGTAAGTCCGCAAACATACCGCTGTGCCACTGGGACGCCCCATCCGTTAAACCAAACTTTAAAGTAAAATACTCAAAGCCAGCCCTTATCATACAAATATTTGTTAAGCTTTCCCTAATTAACTACATCCACCACATTTGAAGGCAACCCATTCTAAGGGCCAGTTACCATGTTCAAAAAATAAAGCTGTCTTAGCTGAAGATGATTGCTACTCCATAAAAGTGTATATGTATGTTCCCTAATCTTATCATTATCACCATTAAGTATGAATGAAATTGATGCGTCAACGCTATAAATTTCCTTAACAATGTTTAATATCTCAAATCAGACCATCTTTAAAGCTTCTTTTTTATCAAGCGAAAACAATTACAGAGACTTTAACCTGTCTTTCTATGACAGCTATTCCATCCTAAGTATAATTGGCCACTATCCAAGGACTTACTAAAAATAGTAGCAAGTGGCTTACATATCCAATCCTTAACCTCCTTCAAAACCCTTGGGGGAATATTATATGGCCTAGGAAGATAGAGTATTAACTTGGCAATTAAATGTGCTCTGCTATAAAAAAGCTGATTTCTTCTTTTAGCATTCATTAGTATTATGG